TCTGGGGGGATTCTCCCCCAGGAGATTTCTATACATACTAACATATAAACTACGCATTCTGGTACACTGAGAAGAAAATAAATAAATCTATTACTACTCGACATATTAATAATATTTGATGCCATTGTTTGTTTTTCACTTAGTTCTGACATCTTGCTGCTCCTCACAGAGAGAAGAGCAAAGAGGAGAGTCTGTGTGAATTACTTTGTGGGTAAGGGTAGATAGCCCCCATTGTTCTGTGACCTGTCAGTCATCAGACCGGGGGTCATATTTCATTATGTGTTATAAAGAATAGTTCTACCGCAAAGTTATTCTCCGTGGGGACTTCCGGCAACCATCTGGATTCTGATTGGCCAGAAGACTCGAAAAAACATCAGCAAAGATGTTTCATTGAGAAGATGATCACTACGTGACAGAAGTCTCCGGTACTTCCAGTCCAACGCATACTGCATGCACAGCGTTAGAACATCGGGCCTTCAAAATAAAAGTTTGACTTTTTTCTTCACTCACACATCTGCGACCCACTCGAAACGGGTCCGCGACCCACTTTTGGGTTTACACCAGTTGAGAACCACTGAGGTAAACAGTGAGTTTTATCAGAGATAATTCCCAGCTGAGGTGATGGGATGGTTTTACAGCATTTATTTTATTTGTTACGGAGTATTTCAGTCCTTTTTCACCACAGCTTGAAGCAATTTTAGGTTTTTGTAGAATTTAGATTTGATAGTTTTTCTTTATAGCGTCAATCCATGTATTTGTATCGCACCACGTGAAGGTGCTTCAGAAAACAGGTTGAAAAACAGGAATTTTATTTGGTAAAGGTACAATAGGGGATTAGAATCAAACTCAAAAGGAGAAGATGATAAAAAGACCACATTTAAAGAAAGATATTTCAAAGAAAGGCTGAGATCTGAGTGTGCAGTGGAGTCTGAAGTCTGAAGGCCACCCAGGTGCGAGCTCTGTGATCTCAGGTGTGTTTTGGAAGGATAAAAAAGGCTGGTTCCTCTCGGGTGAACATGAAACGTCCGTCTGCTCTCTCCGGAACCTGGAACACAGCCAAGATGTACCTGAGTGTACCTGGGTGTACTGCCACCGTGTGGACAGCAGGGGAACTGACCCCTCACTTCACCTGAGTAAAACTGTTCAGAGAAGGAATGAGTCCTAAAACCGTGACATGACTCAGCATTTCCTCACTTCCTGTCCCCTGATCTGGAGGTCAATGGTTTTCTGAATTTGTTTTTGGTTGTTAGCCTGAAATAAGTTCTGTGGTTAACACAAACCGGAGAGATTTTAACGTTTTGTTCTACGACATTGGCGGTGGTGACGTGAAGTCATGTGACCGTGCTGTAGTTAATTTGTAGCCCAACATTAGCCTCCTTTAGCTTAGCGGTGGTGACGTGAAGTCATGTGACCGTGCTGTAGTTCCTTTATAGCCCAACATTAGCCTCCTTTAGCTTAGCGGTGGTGACGTGAAGTCATGTGACCGTGCTGTAGTTCCTTTAAAGCCCAACATTAGCCTCCTTTAGCTTAGCGGTGGTGGCGTGAAGTCATGTGACCGTGCTGTAGTTCCTTTATAGCCCAACATTAGCCTCCTTTAGCTTAGCGGTGGTGGCGTGAAGTCATGTGACCGTGCTGTAGTTCCTTTATAGCCCAACATTAGCCACCTTTAGCTTAGCGGTGGTGACGTGAAGTCATGTGACCGTGCTGTAGTTCCTTTATAGCCCAACATTAGCCACCTTTAGTTTAGCGGTGCTGACGTGAAGTCATGTGACTGTGCTGTAGTTCCTTTATAGCCCAACATTAGCCTCCTTTAGTTTAGCGGTGCTGACGTGAAGTCATGTGACCGTGCTGTAGTTCCTTTATAGCCCAACATTAGCTCTTTACTTCAGAAATCATAAAGTGGTGTTAGTATGTGGAGATTATCCTGCTGAACTAAACGTGTAAGTATCATAAACGTTTGTTTGACACAGAGATTATTTTCTGACATAATCCAAAATCACACGGAGAAATCCCATTGGACCAAGGAGATGCTGCCTTCAGGGACCAACACAGAAATAGGACATTATCCTCATGAGATCCACTTGTGCTTTTGTCTGCAGGGTGAATTTGGTTACGTTGGATACGATGGACTTCCTGGAGTGATTGGTTATCCCGGAAACGAGGGAAACCAGGGCTTTCCTGGAGAAAAGGTAACAACATCCATCTAATGATCACTCTTTCCATTATTTAATCAACTTAAAAACAAGATAGTGGAGTTCCCCAGGGTTTTGTCCCGAGTCCTCTTTTAGTTAAAAAAATACTGAAATAATCTGGAGTCTGATGGATATTTAATGTTTGATAACTTCAGCTCAGGGAACAAACCTCCGATGTTACAGGACAGCAACATTCGTTTATTTAGACCTATAGTTCTCTTCACTACATCAAGCACCTCAGTGTTTTCAGATTGTTATCAGATCCCATCAATGCCTCATTTGGAGAAAGATATTTACATGCGTTCTGT